TTAGTAGAGACGGGGTTTCACCATGTTAGCCAGGATGGTCTCGATCTCCTGACCTCGTGATCCACCCGCCTCGGCCTCCGAAAGTGCTGGGATTACAGGCTTGAGCCACCGCGCCCGGCCGGGAAAAAATGGTTTTTAGTAGATATGTAACCAACTGATTTTTAAAATGATCACACTACCTACGTGGAGAATAAATTAGTGTCTCCTAATCGCTTTGAAATTTTATTTTTCGTTTTATTCTTTTTCACTTTTTTTTTTTTTTGAGACGGATTCTCGCTCTTGTCCCCCAGACTGGAGTGCAGTGGCAAGATCTCGGCTCGCTGCAACCTCCATCTCCCGGGTTCAAGTGATTCTCCGGCCTCAGCCTCCCGAGTAGCTGGGATTACAGGCGCACTCCACCACGCCCACATAATCAACCTCCGTCTCGGGTTCAAGCGATTCTCCTGCCTCAGCCTCCCGAGTAGCTGGGATTACAGGCAGGGAGTTTTATCTTAAAAAAAAAAAAAAAAAAAATTGATATCGGTCTCACCAATCATATTGCAACCAGGTCTGTTAGTTTCCTGAAGAGAAATTAGGTGCTGCAGTACGTTCCAGAAGCAGCTCTTTATGCCCGTATTGCTGATCAAACTATTTTTTAAAGACGTTCCTATCATATATCACCTTGCCTCGGAACAGGGTACGGGCCTGGGATTTTTGATAGAAAAAGGTGTCTTCAGTGACCATTTCCCAGTTTGGGATGAAGAGACATAAAGAAGCCCTCTAATAAGGAAATTACGCCGGGCCTCACTGTTAATAGTACAGTATCTCTCAGCAGCTGCCGCGGTTAAGAGGAATCCACTGACCCCTGTAGTCTGCACCTCCCAACATGGCAGCATTTAGCTCGCGACCTGCTCAAGATGGCCACAGAAACACTTCCGGCATCTTTCCGAACTAGGCCCGCCCCAATTTGCGTATTTTTACCGTGCAGAGGGAGGGATTTAGAGTTAGCCTTTGATTGGTCAGCTTGACCGGCGACCTTTCCCCTCTGCGACAGTTTCCCGAGGTACCTAGTGTCTGAGCGGCACAGAGGAGATCTCGATCGAAGGCGAGATGGCGGACGTGCTAGATCTTCACGAGGCCGGGGGCGAAGATTTCGCCATGGATGAGGATGGGGACGGTGAGGACAGTGGAGGCGGCCGGGCGTAGCGGGGAAGGTGTGAGAGAAGGCTATAATAGGAAAATTTACTCTCTTTTCTCCCGGGTCGTGAGGATGGGAATCGGGGAACCGGGTCTTGGATGGATTAGAGATTCCGCCCCCTTTGGGAGAAGGGAGGGCGTGACCGGGAAGGCACTGAGACTGGAGGCGGTTTGGGTCGGCTTGCAGACAGTGTCTTGGGAAAGAAACGATCGTTACAAATGACTGTCATGGTTACTTACTCTTTTATCTTCTGGGGCTCCAGAGAGCATTCACAAACTGAAAGAAAAAGCGAAGAAACGGAAGGGTCGCGGCTTTGGCTCCGGTGAGTGTGGGGAGAATGGGGTAGAGTGGCCTAGTAGGGCAGGAGCCCCAGGTTTTGGAGTCCCCACCCAACTCATAGGAACAATGGGAGAAAGGGGGAGTTTTCGGTGATCTCGTGTGTGTCCCTTATAGAAGAGGGGTCCCGAGCGCGGATGCGTGAGGATTATGACAGCGTGGAGCAGGATGGCGATGAACCCGGACCACAACGCTGTGAGTAATAATGGAACCTGTGAGGTATCCGTGCCTGTGGTAGTAGTTAGAAAGCGATAAAATAGTTAAGCAGTAGGAGTGGGTTCAGAGATAGCTTAAACAATCTGAGTCCACACTCACTCTACTCCCGTGAGCCTGCTTGAAGCGTTTCTCTCATGTACTCGTACAACTTCCCCCCGTCCCCCAACAGCTGTTGAAGGCTGGATTCTTTTTGTCACTGGAGTCCATGAGGAAGCCACTGAAGAAGACATACACGACAAATTCGCAGAATATGGGGAAATTAAAAACATTCACCTCAACCTCGACAGGCGAACAGGATATCTGAAGGTATCCTAAGTGACACTTTATTGCCTCCTTTCTTTCATAACCCTTAGACAGCATTGGTAGTTCTGTGTTTGCTGTGGTTGGCCAAGAGCAAAGTTAAAATAAAATGACATTGGATGTCATTTTATTAAATAAAATGACATTTAAAACATGGATATGTTTTGTCAGACACGCCAAAGAGACAGACATGTTGTATATATACAGAGATATATGATGTACATTCATTGCTTAAATTTTATAGATTTTTCTGAGTTTAGATTTGAGGAAAAAGATACTCAGTGATGCTTGGGGAAATAGGAGGGTTTTCATATCTGTCTTTTTACTTTCCCCAGGGGTATACTCTAGTTGAGTATGAAACATACAAGGAGGCCCAGGCTGCTATGGAGGGACTCAATGGCCAGGATTTGATGGGACAGCCCATCAGCGTTGACTGGTGTTTTGTTCGGGGTCCACCAAAAGGCAAGAGGAGGTAAAATGAAGAGGGCAAACACTGGGTGAAGGGAATATGAACAAAACAGAATGAGGACGTAGTATTATGTCTGATGGACTCTTCTCCCTGCTTCTTTTTCCCTAGAGGAGGCCGAAGACGCAGCAGAAGTCCAGACCGGAGACGTCGCTGACAGGTCCTCTGTTGTCCAGGTGTTCTCTTCAAGATTCCATTTGACCATGCAGCCTTGGACAAATAGGACTGGGGTGGAACTTGCTGTGTTTATATTTAATCTCTTACCCTATATGCATACTATTTGAGTTGCGAATAAATGTTCCATTTTTGTTTTCTACATTTAATATTACTTTCCTATCGTAAAATTGAAAGTTCTAAAGCATAGTAAGGCTGTATGGATCATTGTGAAGATAATTCTAGGGACTGAACTCTATTTCTTTTTTTTTTGAGATAGAGTCTTGCTGTGTTCCCCAGGCTGGAGTGCAGCTGCGTGATCATAGCTCACTGCAGCTTCAAACTCCTGGGCTCAAGCCATCCTTCTGCCTCACCCTCCCTAGTAGTTGGGATTACAGGCACATGCCAGCATGCCCGGCTAAATTTTTAATATTTTTGTAGAGATGGGGTCTTGCTGTGTTGCCTGGGTTGGTTATGTGAATTTCTATACTAGATACAGTCTCAAGTTTCAGGTAGGGTTTAAAGTAGACACTGGTCAGTATTTCTTTTTTGGGGGAACTAGGAGAGCAGGAGTAGAAGTGAGATGTTAAGATCTTATGGCATTAAAGACTTATTATTTTGTTCCTATATACTCTGTTAGGATCAGATAGATGTTATAGAAATGTCTTTTGTTTCTCCTGCACTTCTTGATGTCACAGTTTTTTGTACTTCCTGCTGTCTAAGGGCATGAATCTCCTGTTGGAGCATTCTCCCAGACCCTTCTTTAGAAGAGTCTATACTAAGCTCTTGGTGCCCTCTTCGGCAGCCAAGGGTGAAGGCCCCATAGAGGAGAGGATCCAAAGGAGCATTGAGGAGGCCAAAAAGGAAAAGGATGTGGCTCAGGCTGGGAGGGACTTCAGTTAGCATGGTGGGGGAGAACCAGTACCACAGACCCAGTAGGTAATAAGGTGTCCAGCAGAGGATGAAGGTCAGCAAGATAAACAGGGCCAGTCTCAGGGCCCGGAGACGAACATGGGGACGATTGTCAAAGGAGCGGCAGAGGGCAAATTCACCAGCAGGGGCTAGGAATTTAGAAAACATACTGTAATTCAGAGTCTAAGCTTCTGAACTGAGTATAGGGTGAACTGATGGAGGGGCATAGCTAGTGACACAGAGCTTGCCTCCTACAAGGAGGAGAATGCTGCAAACCCTTTTCCCCTTCCCAACCTAGGACTATATGATCTCTTATCCCCAGGGATTATGATAGAAATGTGAAGCCACCCAGTCTACTTTAAGACTTGATGGTGTTCAAGAATAAATAATACTGATTGCCTCCCTAGTCCTTGTCTAGCTAACTCAGCTGTTTATAATTGAAAGGATTCAACAAAATTAGCATCAGGTGCTAGACATATGGTTAGGATCTCACCACAGTTGAGTGACTGGTAGATAGCTATTAGGTAGGTAGATAAATGATGCTAGAGGCAACAGATCTAGGGTTAAGGATTAAGGCCTGGGAATTGGAGTCTCACCATGACTCCCCTTCCTTGTCTGAGGGCTGGACACACTGAGGACAATGCGGCTATAGCAGATGGCCATGGCAGTCAGTGGCAGCAGAAAGAGGCAGCAGAAGGTGAGGAGGTTATAGGTGGTCTCTTGCCATCGAGCCTTGAAGCTGCCTTTGGTGACACACTGAGTGAAAGGGACTGGGCCAGCTCGGTGGACGGTATGGAACAGGAACAGCTGGAGTGGAGTTCAGGACTATTAGAACTGGTTCCCCTCACCACTCAGCCTACCCACCTATGTCATACTGTCTCCTCCCAATTCATCCTTAATTCCAAGTGAAGCAGCACAGTGCTGAAAAACAGTTCATCCATGGTGCCATGTTAAAGAGGTTGGAAATATGTCTTGAAAATCCTGTCTTCCTTTTAGGCTTGAATATGATGCTGAGCAGTGAGTTTGTTAAATCTCAGAACTTAAAACAATCCCACCTTCTCAAGTACTATTCTAACACTGCGCTTTATAAGGGATGATATTTCTACCACCTCACTCATATTTTTAGCTGAAATGATTTTCCTGGTATGTCTGTTATTTTGTGGAAAAAGAAAAACTGTGTAAAATGGGTGCTGCCAAAATTCCAGGCCATTTTGCAGTGACTCTGAAGTGACCTTTAGTAGTAATAGTCTTATGTGCAGTAACTATAATGGTAAAGAATGTTAAATAATAAAATTTAACATTTTCCAAATGCTGTTGGGCTGCCCCTCCCCCTTTTTGTTAAATTGCTGGGTTTTCCAACTGAATCAGTAAAAACTATTTCCGTTTAGAACTACAAGGTTAAAGTGCCTGGGTTCCAGTAATGCAGATTGTCACTATTAATTTGATAAAAGGTAAGCTCAGTAGGTATCAGATTCCTAGATACAAGGCATTTGGGACAGTGATTTTAGCAGACATGAGGGACATTTAGGAAAGATGAATAGTTTCAGCATAAGACAGAATTTTGAGAACTGTTTGGAGTTACGATCAGGCTACTCTGAGCTAGTTGGAAAATGTTCTTTCCTCTTCCCATCTCTTGCATTCATATATTTATAATTTGTTTTTGTTTTTGTGCTATGCCTAAGAAGTACGTGAGAATCGTGAGGAGTATAAAAATAGTCAAAGCTGGCTGGGCGCGGTGGCTCATGCCTGTAATCCCAGCACTTTGGGAGGCTGAGGCGGGCTGATCACAAGGTCAGGAGATCGAGACCATCCTGGCTAATACGGTGAAACCCTGTCTGTACTAAAGATACAAAAAATTAGCCGGGCGTGGTGGCAGGCGCCTGTCATCCTAGCTACTGGGGAACTCCAGGAGGCTGAGGCAGGAGAATGGCGTGAACCCACGAGGCGGAGCTTGCAGTGAGCTGAGATTGTGCCATTGTACTCCAGCCTGGGTGACAGAGCGAGACTCTCTCCAAAAAAAAAAAAAAAAGTCAAAGCCTACAAAAATAAGTAATTTTCTAACCACCCCAATAGTATCCCTAAGGACTCCTAAGCCCTTACCACACTAACGTGACATTAAATTTTTTATTTTATTAACACTAATATTTTAACTACAATTACAGCATATGGGCAAGGCAGAATTTACCCACAAGGATACTAATTTGGAACCAAAAAATTTCACCTTTTGCACAAGTATCATGCGTGTCACAATCAGTTTGCCATTGAAACAAATAGAGATTGCAAATATTGTCAGATTGTCAGGCTATAAGAAAGGATGAAATTCATTTCCCATTGCATCATCTTGTGGCCCATGGATTTCAAGTGCCTTAGCCAAAATCATATAGCTAGTTAGCAGTAGAGCCCGAGACTCAGAAAAAAAACAAAGTAAAACAGGCAAACTGAAACAAAAAGTCTTCTAATTCCCAGTCCACATGTAAAATTTGCTTTATGTAAACAAACCTAATTGTAAATGGCACTGTAGCAACAGGCTTCTTTTTAACACTTGGATTGGTAAAGGTCTTGTTTGCAACATATTAGAAGTATTATTTTTCTCTTTTTATCCCCCCTGACAGAGTCTGGCTCTGTCGCCCACGCCAGAGTGCAGTGCAGTCTTGGCTCACTGCAGCCTCCACCTCCCAGGTTCAAGAAATTCTCGTGCCTCAGCCTCCTGAATAGTTGAGATTACAGGTGCTCACCACTACACCGGGCTAATTTTTGTATTTTTAGTAAAGATGGGGTTTCATCATGTTGGCCAGGTTGGCCTTGAACTCCTGACCTTAAGTGATCCACCCGCCTTGGCCTTCCAAAATGCTGGGATTACAGGCTTGAGCCACCAGGCCTTTCTTTGTTCTTAGGAGTATAGTCAGACTAACTTCTAGTAGTTATATTTCTAATAATTGAGGATGTAAGTAAGGATCAAATCTTAAATCAGTATAATATATTATCATTCCAGAAACAAATCCTAGACCCTTCTTGGCCTCCTTCTAGACATAATTCTAATCCTACAGTCTCAGAGATGCTGCTCTATCCTGCCCCCCAACCCCATGATAGTGATAGTGGTGTTTGCCTTGAAGGAATTGCTTTGTATTTAGCTTTTTTCCCCACCTAGATTTCTAGTTCCTTTTCAGTATTGGATTTGCTTTGAGATTTGATTAACCTAGTACTCAGGTTCAGATGCTCGCCTCTTTCCAATTTTAACACTCATTCGACAATAAAGTCAGTAAAAAACACAAATTTGGTTATGTCACTCTCTTTACTTTAGTGTCTCTCCACTGCACTCAGGATAAAGTACAATTTTATTATTTGTGATCTGGCTGGCTCTTCCCCTCTCAGCTCATTACTCACCATTAACTAGTCCTCAGCTTTAGCAGCATTGGCATTGAGATCCTCTATCCTCCATCTTCCCTAGCATTTCTCCTATTTTAATTGGTCTAACACCTATCTGTGAAGAATCAAACGTTAACATCTGGAAAGCTGTTCCTGACTGCACAGCTGTGTCAGACACCCCTCTCTGCTCCCCACCCCCATTGTCTTCTTTAGCTCCTTTAGCATAACACTTTTGAATACACTATATTGTAAGTGCCTAATTTCTTTGTTTCCTGCACTAGTCAATACATTTCCTGAAGGCAGAATTTTGCTGCCCTATCCTTAGCAAAATTTGAGTGGCCCTGAAGATGCATATTACTTTTTGAATGGATAAATGAGTGTACCACAAAGTTTTACCCAAACCACTGACTTCACTCTCTTCATAGACCCCCATGTATGTTTTTCTGTTTTTCTTCCCTGCCCCAATCTGAAGGAGGTGAGATTGGGAGGATGCAAAGATGCAGAAGCCAAGTGTAGTAAAACAGATCTAATGCAAGAGGCACAAATAGAGGATACTGTTTATAAAAGGCAGGCTCTTAACAGATGTAAATTAACATGCAAATAATCTTACAGAAGAGAGCAGAGGTAGCCAGGCAGGGTGCCTCACGCCTGTAATCTCAGCACTTTGGGAGGCTGAGGCGGGCGGATCACGAGGTCAAGAGATGGCGATCACCTGGCCAACATGGTGAAACCTCGCCTCTACTAAAAATACAAAAATTAGCCGGGCGTGGTAGCGGGCGCCTGTAGCTTCTCGGGAGGCTGAGGCAGAAGACTTGCTTGAACCCGGGAGGCGGAGGTTGCAGTGAGCCGGCAAAAAAAAAAAAAAAAAAAAGGCAGGGGCTTACTCCCCGAGAATTAATGGCTAATGGCCCCCAAGCGCACCCTTTAACTCATGCTACAGACCCAATCCCTGTCCTGCCCGGTCCTGAGTCCTAGGTCACTCACCTGGGGCAAGGCAAGCAGGAAACTAAGTCCCCAGGCTGCCCCCAGAAGTTTCCTTACACCTGAACGGGATCCAAGCGGGTTGAGTACTGCTGCCTGGCGGTCCAGTCCACTGACCACAGGCAGGAAAGCTGCAGAATACATGGCCATTAGTTTCAGGAACATGAGTGTCCGACATGCGATGTCCCCGGCCAGCCATTGAACAGTGATATTCCAGGTGGCATCTAGGGGCATAACCACAAAAGTGACTAGAGTGACTAGTAAGTCGGCAGCTGCTAAATGGGCGAAGAGTGTCCTGACCGGAGAGGGGCGGAGCTGGCTGGGTTGCGGCCGTGTCATTGACCACAGGACGGCCAGGTTCCCTGCAGCCGAAGAAACAAACAGCACAATGGTCACTCCCACTCGGACCTTGGCTGCTGCCGAGAAGGTGGGCAGCTCTGAGCCCTCCACCGCCACTCCCGATGCAGCCCAGGCCTCCTCCCCCGCTGCTGACCCCCAAGGGGTGCCGTTGCCTGCAGACATGGTGGCCTGGAGAGAAACTGAGGACGAGGCAGTGTGGGTATGAGCGCTTAGCTTTGGCCACTGATTCTTCGCCCACCTTTTCAGGTTCTGGAGCTGATTATTGCGAATTTCGTTCACTAAAGCCTCTGCTTCTGGAGACTCTCCGTCTGTTCTGGAGGAGGTCACTTGTCCAACCGTCAAGGTTCTGCAGGGAACGAAGATCTGGTATCAGACACGCTCCTTTTTCCTTGGAAAGACCAGCCTGGGCTTCGGGTCTCTACTGCCCTAAACCTCTTTAGCCCTTACAGCCCTGGATTAGTACGGAGCCTGAGTGCATGTGTATTTGGGATGTTCTGCCGGGCGCACACCTATTCCGGCCTCCAAGGCGTGGAGTTCACTGCGGCGCTTTCTCGCCCCGCCCCGACCCCTGCAGGCCCCGCCCTTGGTCCTGAATATTTAAAGAAGAATGTGCCGCTGGAGGCGTGCTAGGGAGTGGTGATCGTCTGATAAGGAGACCCTGGGACAGAGACACACACAATAATACGCAGATGTAGGCTCAAAAGACACGCGTTTCGCGTCCTGAAATTCCGCTTCGAGGGCCAGCTCCACTCGCTTTCTTTTCTGATATTGTTTGTCCCTCGCGAGGCACCGTTGGGTCCCGCAGGAGGCGTGACTAGGGGCGGGAAGTGGGGCGGGAGCGGGGCCGCGGAGCCTGGGCTACCGCTGTCATGGACGCCTGGGTCCGCTTCAGTGCTCAGAGCCAAGCCCGGGAGCGGCTATGTAGGTGCGGCCCGAATAGGAATGGGGGTGGGGCGGGGGAGGGATGGGCAGAGGAAGACTCTAGTGAGGCGAAGTCAGTTCAGGCTATAGGGGGGTCAAGAAGGGTCAACTCTGGCTACGGGGGCCCGAACGGACCGTGAGGTGCAGATTTGAGCCGCTGTTGAGGAGATGATTCCTTTCCGCTCGCGGAAGAGATGGGGAAACTGAGGCATGAGTGGGTCAGCGGGGAGGCCACTCAGGGTTGCTGTGTCCACATAAGACCGACAGTGTTCTCACTGAGCGGTGATGGAATGAGGAGCATTCACCCCACGGTGGATAGCCCTGGACTCTGCCCCCAGAGCTGAGGAGGCACTCCCAGTTTCCATGTCCCCACACCGTGCTGTCATTCGGGAACTCCTCTGCGTCCATCCTGGCGTTTGGTCTCCATTCAGCTAGAGGGCCTTGAAATCTCTTAGTTCACCTATTCTGAGGAATAAAATGCCTTCCAACTGTCTGCCTCCCCTCATCGATCACATACATGCTCACGCTGATGTGCTTGTGATGGACCCCTGCGCCCTGCACTGGCCCCTTCAGGCCTCATCATTGTCAAATCTCTTATTTGCTCAGCATTCAATAGTGCTCCCCACCCCTTTCTAGACTCTTTTTTCTCCTTATGCCTTTTCCTTCCTCTGACCTGGAGAAATGGTGAGATATGGACATGGAGGAGGAAGGGGAGTGGTCTCAAACTGGGAAAGGGGGAAGTCTGTGCCTTTTGGAGGATAATTTTGAGCGGAAGGTAAGGGAGGTCTCCACCTTACCTTGCCTGCCCTCTCCTCTAGGGCCGCCCAGTATGCTTGCTCTCTTCTTGGCCATGCGCTGCAAAGGCATGGAGCCAGTCCTGAGTTACAGAAACAGATTCGACAGCTGGAGGGCCACCTGAGCCTTGGAAGAAAGCGTAAGTAACTCTGTCTTTCCTTTTATCCCCCAACCCTTCCTCCATCCCCAGCTCTCCTTCCTTGGTCCCTCCTTCCTGTACCCTCTCTGCCTGTTCTTTCTCATTTGGCTCTGCACTTACCCTCTGCATGCGTCAAGTTGAGATAAGAGAGCAGGGGTACGGAAGTAATTAGGAGGACTGGAGAGAATGGGGCAAGTTTGAGAAAACTAAACTGGCACAAAAATTAAATTTGAAATTGAAAAATGAAGTGTTTCTGCTCTTTATCTTTTATTTTTTTTGAGACAGAGTCTCTCGTCCAGGTTGGAGTGCAGTGGCCCAATCTCGGCTCACTGCAACGTCTGCCTCCAGGTTCAGGCAATTCTCCTGTCTCAGCCTCCTGAGCAGCTGGGACTACAGGTGCCCACCACCATGCCGGGCTAATTTTTGTATTTTTAGTGGAGATGGGGTTTCACCATGTTGGCCAGGCTGGTCTCAAACTCCTGACCTCAGATGATGCAGCCACCTCGGCCTCCCAAAGTGCTGAAATTACAGGCTTGAGCCACCGCGTCCAGCCTGTTTCTGCGCTTCAAAAAAATTGTTATTATTATTGCTCAACTTTTGCCTTCTTGCTTTCTCTGTTTCTGTTTCTTGCTATCTGCCTCTCTACTTACAAATCCTTGCTTTCCCTTTCTAATCTCCACAAGTTCTACGCCTGGGTAACTCAGCAGATGCCCTTGAGTCAGCCAAAAGAGCTGTTCACCTATCAGATGTTGTCCTGAGATTCTGCATCACTGTTAGTCACCTCAATCGAGCCTTGTACTTTGCCTGTGACAATGTCCTGTGGGCTGGAAAGTCTGGACTGGCTCCCCGTGTGGATCAGGAGAAGTGGGCCCAGCGTTCATTCAGGTTTGATATCATTTTCTCCTTCAAGATTTTTTTTTTTTTTTGGTAGTCTGTATATTGCATAGCTTGTTTTATATGAGGGAAAGATCTCTTAGGATCTTTCCACTCAAGTCTTGATCAGTCACTTGGCTTCCAGTCTTCAGTTAGATCTTAAACTATTGGAGAATATCAAATGGGGGGAGATGGAAGACAGATGATCTTCCATAATGAATGACTAATATTGTGCAAGGTAAGATATTATATCACTTTAATTGTGCTTCTATACCACAGGTTATTCCCCCTCACTACCTGCTTACTCATTCATTCCGAAAATATTTGTTAGATGCTTACTGTGGGGCAGGGGATAAAGCAAAGAGCTAAACAGGTAATGTGCCGATGTGCCTGCTCCCATGAAACTTCCAGTTTAGTGGGGGAATTAGATACTACAATGAATAACTTCTCATATATATTTGTGGGAAAGTATGCGGTATTATGAAAGAATATCCCAAGGGGAGCTAATTTAGATTGAAAAATCGGGAAAAAACTCTTTGAGAAAGCAATATTTTAGTTCAGACCTGATGTCTGGGTAGGAGGAGTTAGACAAAGCCAACAGTAGCAGAAAAGACATTTCCAAACAGAGAAAATAGCACATTCTAAGTAAGGCTTTGAACTAAGACTTCAGGAAATTAGAGAAATAGAAAGCCAGTGTGATTGACAGTATTGAGTCCATCAGTTCAAATTTGAGAGGTAGATAGGCACCAGACCTTTCATACAGGGCCTTTTAGTTAATGCTTGTTTTATTTTATCCTACAATGGAACATTATTGAAGGATTCTGAGCAGGGAAATGACATGATTCAAATTGTGTTTAAAGGACATCTGTTTCTGAGATGTTGAAAATGGATTGCAGGCCAGGCGCAATGGCTCACACCTGTAATCCCAGCACTTTGGGAAGCCGAGGTTGGGGGATCACGAGGTCAGGAGTTCAAGACCAGCCTGGCCAACATGGCAAAACCCCGTCTGTACTAAAATTACAAAAATTACCCAGATGTGGCGGCGGGCACCTGTAATCCCAGCTACTCGGGAGGCTGATGCAGGAGACTTGCTTGAACCCGGGAGGCAGAGGTTGCAGTGAGCTGTGATCGTGCTATTGCACTCCAGCCTAGGTGACAAAAGCAAGACTCCATCTCAAAAAAAAAAAAAAAAAGAAAAGAAAAGAAAATGGATTGCAGTGGGACAAGAGAGGAGGAAATGCCCTAATATGAGCAAGAGATGACGTTGGCTTGGACAAAGGAGGTAGCTGACAATGAAGGTAGAGAGAAATACAATGTGGGAGTAAAATTCCCTAACATACTATCTGTATTTGTTTTTTGTTTTCCTATGATTGTACTTTTTCGTTATATTAACCTTGCTTTTCCCTTCATCTTTCTCAGTGATTTACAACTATAACATGGCTTATGATGTATGAGGGGTGGGAGCAGAGGCATGGCTGGAGCACTATGGAAAAGCAACTCCCTAAAGGAGTCTATATGTTATATTTATTCATTTCATCCAACAGATACTTACTGAGCTCTTACCGTATGGTAGGCATCAGTCTACATACAGGGGTACAGTGGTTAAAGACAAACAAGGCCTCTGCTCCTCTGGAACTTACCTTGTAATGGGATGAGATAAACATAAACAAACAATAAATTAAAATATCAGATACTGGCAAGTGTTATGCAGGAAATTAAAACAGGGTTATGGAGTAGAGAGTAACTAATTCAGTGCTTTAGATTTAGGGAGAAGGGAAGGCCTCTCCGAAGAGGTGATATTTAAGCTCATACCTGAAAAGCAAGAAAGAACTAGCTATGTGAGGATTTTGGAGGGAGAATATTCCAGGTAGAGGGAATAGGTAGTGCAAAGGTCCTAAGGCAAGAACAAGCATGATGAAATTAAAATGTATAAAGAAACCAACATGGTTAGAGCATAATGATTGAAGGAAAGAATGATACAAGGTAAAGTTAGAGGGGTAGGGACCAGATGTTGAGTCCTGTAAGCCTCTCTAAGGTATTTATATTTTATTATGAATGTGATAGGAAGAAAACCATGACGAGCTGTGTTTTTTTGTTTGTTTATTTGTTTTTCTTTTTTTTTTTTTTTGAGATGGAGTCTTGTTCTGTTGCCCAGGCTGGAGTGCAATGGTGCAATCTCAGCTCACTGCAACCTCCACCTCCCAGGTTCAAGCAATTCTCCTGCCTCAGCCTCCTGAGTAGCTGGGATTACAGGCACGTGCCACCATGCCCAGCTAATGTTTGTATTTTTGGTAGAGACAGGGTTTCACCATGTTGGTCAGGCTGGTCTCGAACTCCTGACCTCATGGTCCGCCTGCCTTGGCCTCCCAAAGTGCTGGAATTATAGGCATGAGCCACTGCGCCTGGCCAACCATGGAGCGTTTTAAGAAGGGAAGTAATGATGTGATTTATGTTTATGCTAGCTACTATATGAAAATAGATTGTTGGGGGTGGGACAAGAATGGCCACAGTGAGAACAGTTAAAACACTAAAGCAGAAGTCCAGATAAGAGATGTTAGTGGCTTAGAGTATGGCGGTGGGGTGTGATAGAGAGATGTGGTTGGATTCAGGATATACTTTGAAGGTAGACGAAGTTATTGAGTACAGACCACCATTGTCAGATTGGATTGCAAATAAAAAACATGGATTTTTTTACTGAAGAAATTTATAATTTAACACATTTGGCAATTACTTAAACCTCTGGGCCACTTTTTTTTTTTTTTTAAAGAAATAGGGATTGGATTTAGATCACCTTTAATATGTTTGAGTC